AAGACTTGTTTTTAGTTGCTTCTTTGAGTAATAAAGATCAAATTTCAGATGAACAAACAAAACAAACAACATGTGAGGAGCCTATATTTAATTATATAAGCAACCAATTAGAAGCTCAGAATAAACAAACCAAACTGAAACAGTGGTTTAATTTTTTCTTAAAAGTAAAAAGAGGAAAAGCCACCTACTTTATCTATTTTTCATGAAAAAGAATTATTACCAAAAATGAAAATGCACTAATCTTTGAATTATTTAGTTTAGAAAACATTTTTACTACAAGAATTATAGAAGCTTTGGAACAAGAAACAGGAGAAGATCTGATTGCAGCCTGGCCAGTAATTAACAAAAACAAAAGAACCCATTTAGAAGTTGTATTTTCAGATGAAAATAAATAATAGCAATATGCAGCTAAAGGTGTTACTATCTTTAAACAAACCTTACAAGGATATATTTCTATAAACATCAAACACAACTTCCTATCAGTCAGAATTTGAAATGCATCAATAGGAAAAAAAGAATTTATTTCAGAGCAGATTAGAAAAGCATTTCAAGATATTGGCATGATTTTATTGATTAAGTCACTAATCTACAAAGAAACCTCTATAATGTTAGACCAGTAGGTTTCAATCTTTGAAATGACAGATGACTCAGATTTGACAAATCAAATTACTAGATTTACACATGTTTGGAACCACAAAGTTACTATGCACTGGAGAGAGACCCCAAAGATGTGCTTTTTTTGTAACAAAGCAGGTGACATCAAAAAAGACTGCACAGATACAAACTCTTAGTTAATGCTAGAAATTTATACAAACTATAAAAAGAACAAAAGAAACAAGAAAAAATTTAGCTCCAACAATGCATAGAGGAACCTTTTAAATTTACCTCTATGTAAACAAGGAACTAAAAAACAAAAATACTATGAACAACTCTATGAAGAATCTTGAAACAATGAACACAGAAGATGAAAACATTTTAATGCAAAATAAAATAACATCAGACATAGAGATGTTAACAAGCAACGATAAACAAGAAAGTCAATTAAAATATCAAACAGAATTAACTGAAGACAAGCCAAATATGAAACACAAAAACATACTAGTGAACTTACTTGCAAATTTGTATAACAATGTATGGGCAAACAATACTGATCCTATATATAAAGAAAACAAACAAGGTTTTACAGTGGTTTCCAGAAAAAAGCATAAAAATAAAAGCAGAATCACAATTCCAAAAGTGGAAGAACTACAGTTCTAGAGACATCAGCTCCTTATACAATAGTCAGAGGACTGCAATAGATATAACCTTAACTTTTATTTTTTTAAATTATTTTTTAATAGTTAAAAAAATTAAAATTGCATTACTAAACATCAAAGGACTAAACAACAAAGAAAAAGCATACAAAACACTTAAACTATTAAAATTATATCACTTGGACATAATTATAATTTAGGAAACTAATTTAGAAAATATCCATACAAGAAACTTTTTAAAACAAATATGGGGGTTTGACTCTTACTAGATCTCCAAAACAGCAATACTTACAGGAAATCATGATATAAAACTAAAAAATATTAGAAAATCCCATTATGGACAAATAATATCAGCAAATCTCATATACAAACAATAATTTTTTCAATTAAACAACATATGTGCTCCTCCAAACATAAAGAACAAAGTACACTTTTTTAATAATTGGAACCTGCAACTTAATGAGAAACATATTAATATAGTAGCAGATGACTTTAACACAAATTTGAATTTACAAAAAGATCATATTAGCTATGCACTAATTGTTAATGATCCTTCAAGAAAATTACTAAAAGAAACTACTTCAGACCTGATTAATACAGCATCACTATTAAACAAACAGGAACCTTGTCTTACTTATTATCAGAATACAAGAGGAAATCATAGTATGGCTATAAGGCTTAATTATATCTTTATTGATACCAATTACAGCTAATACTGTAAATATACTATCATACAGTTTGGCAACTCTAATTACTTAATAATAGAATGTGAACTAAACTTCACATCTGAGTCATCTAAAGCCAAACAATATAGATTCAACAGAAATTGCTAGAATAATAAACAATTAAAAACAGAAGTAGTCAAGGAGATAAAGAGCTTTGCAGATTTCTCAAAATAGAATTTATCTAAATGCAGAATTAAATCAATAATTAGAGCCTTTAAACCTCCTTCTGCACCAGAGAAGAAGATACAAAAGCTCCAAAAAGAATTAACTAAACTAAACAACAAATTGGCTAAAGAAGAAAGCTCAGAGTATCTTTTTAAAGCAAAAGAAGACCTTAGTATACAACTTCAAGACAAGCTTCATACTCTTTCTGAGAAATGGCAACTTAGATCCAACACTAAATAAATAGAAAAAGAAAAAAAATTAACAAAATTTTTTTTTACACAATACAAAATTAAAAATACATCATTAGCAAAAAATAAAATTTCTCTATCAAACAACTTTGAACTAGACAATATTAACAAAACAATTCAATATATAAGAAATACTTACTAAGATATTTACAGAGCAGAAGAAATTAGTCAAGATGAGGCTGATTTTTTTATCCAGAATCTTACTCCTATTACAATAATATAAAACATGTTACTTAAAAGGCATATTATAGAAGATGAAGTCAAAAGTATACTGACTTCTTTTCTTAACAACAAGGTTCTAAGTTCAGATGGCCTTAGCTATGAGTTCTATAAAGATATTTAAGAAGAGGTTCTTTCTGCACTTACAGATCTTTTTAACTACTGTCTAGAAACAGATACTATCCCTAAATCATGATCCAAAAGCATAATTATACTTATTCCTAAAAAAGCAAAGAACTTAAATAATGTTAATAACTGGAGGCCTATTTTACTAACTAATAGTGATGCCAAAATTTTTATAAAAATCTTAGCTAATAGGGTTAATGAAATTTGTAGCTCAATTATTGGTCCATTACAACAAGCATTTATAAAAAAACAATCAATAGTAGATACAGTTTTAGATATCATTACTACTTTAAGGAACCAAGAGAACCAATCTTTCTTATACTGGCTTATATTATTAGATTAATAAAAAGCATTCAATAGAATGAGTCACAAGTTTATCATACAAGTACTAAAAAAAATAAACTTTGATAACAGCTTTATCAAAATTGTAAATACACTTTTTAGCTTACAGGTAGCATATATTGCAGATTCAGAGAGATTGTTTGAGCCTATAAGAATAAAAAAATAAGTTTAGCAAGGTGATCCACTATCACTTTTACTATATATTCTTGCCTTTAACCCTTTAATTCTTAAACTTCAAGAAGAGATTCAAGGAATTAAGCTTAGAAATCAATCCTTCAAGATGATAGCTTATGCAAATGATTTAACTATTAGAATTGGATCATTTACAGACTGAAGTAAAGTCTTAACACTACTTAAAAAGTATGAAAAGGCAACTAATATCAAGATAAACTAAGACAAATCTATTATCCCTTAATCTGTAAGCTTTTTCAGACAAATTTGCCTAGAAAATTGTTAAAAATATGCTTATGATCTTTATTTTTTAAATTTTAAAATATTTAAATAAAATTTTATTTAATAATATTTGAAAATAAGAATTATATTATAGCAGTATT